CCTGCTCGGCGCCACGTCGGCCGCCCCGGCCGCTGCCTGGAGGCGGGACCCCGGGCGCCCAGCCCGCCCCCGGCGCCTGCGGGACCCCGGGCTCTCCCCGGATCTCCCAGGGCCCCCGGATTTCCCAGGACCCCCGGATTTCCCAGGACCCCCGGCTCCCTCCGGACCTCCGGCTCCCCCGTGGCCTCCCGGGCTCCCTCGGACCTCCAGGACCCCCGGCTTTCCCCCGACCCGCCCAGCCTAGGCTCCTGCCAGGCCCCTGGCTCCCCTCGCCCGCCCCTGGACCTCCGGGCAGAGCCCAACTGTAGACGAAGGAGACTTCACAATCACTGTGCCCACACTTGTTTGTGTACACACTTAACGCATTCACACTCACTCTCTCTCTCCTCTCTGCCTCTCTCCGCCTCTCTCCTTTCTCCGAGATGTCTTTTCTACTCTCAGTCTTGTTTCTGTCTGTTTGTTTCTCCATCTTAGTCCCTATCTCTGCGTCTCTGTCTCTGAGTCTTTCTGTGAGTGTGTCTCTTGTCTCTGTGTGTGTGTCTGTCCATCTCTGTCTCTGTCTCTGTGTCTTTCTGTCTCTCTGTGTATGTCTCTTTCCATCTGTCTCTGTGTGTGTATGTCTCTCTCCACCTCTATCTCTATCTCTGTGTCTCTCTCTGTCTCTGTGTCTCTGTGTGTGTCTTTTTCCATCTCTATCTCTGTCTGTGTCTTTGTGTGTATGTCTCTTTCCATCTCTGTCTCTATCTGTGTATCTTTCTGTCTCTGTATGTCTCCATCTCTATCTCTCTCTCAGTCTCTGTCTCTCTGTGTGTATATGTCTCTCTCCATCTCTGTATCTAGCTCTGTATCTCTCTCTGTGTCTATGTATCTTTCTCTGTGTCTATGTATCTTTCTCTGTGTGCGTATGTGTATGTCTCGTCCCACCTGTCTCTATCTCCGTGTCTGTCTCTGTGTCTTTTTCTGTATGCCTCTTTCCATCTCTGTCTCTTTGTGTCTGTATCTTTCTGTCTTTGTGTGTGTATCTCCATCTCTGTCTATCTCTGTGTCTCTCTCAGTCTCTGTGTCTCTCTATCTTTCTGTCTCTGTGTGTGCATGTCTCTCTCCATCTCTGTGTGTGTCTTTATGTCTGTCTGTCTCCCTCTTACCTACACTCAGTGGAACACACCCACTTGAGCTGCTCAGAGACTCACTGTCCCCTCATTCCTCCATCCATCCCTGAGCGCTGGTCCAGGCACTGAATTTGGCTTTGGGGACCAGGTAGAGAATAAGACCCACAAGTACATTTTCTATTTTTGTGGAGTTTACTTTCTAGTGAGAAAGAGTGGAAAATAACTAAACACTGGAACAAGCAGTAAAGCGGAGGCAGAGAGCGAGACTAGGTGATAAGGCTGGTTGGGCAAACACTGGAACCACTGTATATTATTATTATGGTTGGGGAAGGTTCTTCTGAGATCCGAGAGGCAAGAAAAAGGCAGCCGGGGTTGGGAGCAGAGCATCCCAGGAGAGGAAGCAGCAAAGGCAGAAGGCCTGAGGTGAAAACAAACTTTATTACTGTTGTTATTAGGTGTCCTGGAGTTGATTTCTATTCCTAGTGACCTCCTGTAACAGAGTTAAACTGCTTTCTAGACTATAAACTTTCAGAAGAAGCCCTAGAGGGTGAAGGAACAGCACAAAAGAGGAAGACCCTCAATGAAATGGACTAACTCAGTAACTGGTATAATGGGGGCAGGTGTGTCAGAGGCAATAACATTGACTCAGGATAGAGCAGGGTTCAGAGATGCTGTACATAGGGTCGCTATGAGTCGCAGGTGACTTAACAACATATAACAATAACAACAACATCAACCGGGCAATAACAATTTTTATAATGAAGCCACAAATACTATTTATATGTAGAATTTGTTCTGAGCTAGTTTTGAGTTTTATGAGCCTAGGCTGATAAAAGGTACTGGAAACTATCAACACAAAGTTGGAAAGTGTGTGTGTGTGTGTGTGTGTGTGTAAACCCAGGAGAACTGAAGGCTTAGTATCATAGAAACCCATGGACCAAAAAGCCTTTCTTAGAAGTTTCTAGAAAACAAAGCCCCAGTGGTAGGGGTGAGGAGGAAGAAAATAAACATAAGAAGAATGTCCACTGTCCACCAGGCACCCTCATGAGCAACATCTTGTTTAATTGTAAGATAAACAATCTTTACATTCAGGAAAGTAGAATGAAGTGCCCCCATTCTGAAGCTGATGCCACTGAAATTAGGGGAGGTGATGGTCCCTGCTCAGTCAAACTGTGTGGCGGGGCTGGGACCGCTGCCCCCTCATACCCCAGTAAGCCCAGCTCCCTTCCTCTTTTCTCCTAGAACATGTCCACAACCACTCTCTCTTGCTCATTGCCAGTCAGATCTGACCTCTCATTGGATTTCCAAGGCTGTGCATTGCATGGACGGCATGGCTTATCTTTTTTCCAGGAGCAGCTGGTGGATTTGAACTACCCAAGAGTCACAATTCTCTACCGACTACATCTCCAGAGCTCCAGATCTTCCCTTTTCCAACTTCCTCTGCAGCTAAGACAAAAGCATACGGTTCATTCAGTGCCAACAACTTGGAGAGCAAGTGTGATGGGGAAAGGTGAGAACTTCAAAAAACCCATTTTCTCCTAAATACAGATTGTGCCTAAGATAACATCTTCCTTCTTCAGCCAGATGTTTCTGCATCTTCATTTGATGGGTGGAACTCTGGCGGTCATTTGATGACCTGAAGGTGACAATCACAGAGGTCGGCGTGGCAGAAAGATGGAAAGGTCATGGGGCCTTGATATCGCTGAGTGCAACCTTCAATTCTCTCCTTTTGATAGTTTGTTCTGTGAGATAATAAATGAACCTATTAAGTTCAAATACATTTCAACATCAAAAAGACAAAAATCCTCACCACTGAGCTGACAGGAAATATCATGATAGATGGAGAAAAGATTCAAATAGACCACAGTTTCATCTTACTTAGGTTCACGATCAACATCCTTGGTATCAGCAGTCAAGAAATTAAAAGACACATTGCATTGGGAAAGTCGGCTGTCAGGGACCTTTCCAAAGTACTGAAGAAAAATTATGTCAGTTTAAATTATGTCACTAAGGTGTACCTGATTCAGGCAAGGCCTTTTCAATCACTTACTGTGCATCTGATAGCTGGACAATGAAAAAGGACCATAAAAGAGGAATCAATGCCTTTGAGTTATGGAGAAGAATACGGAATAACCTGTGGACTGACTAAAGAACAGATATGTCTTGAGTAAGGTGCAGCCAGAGTGTTCCTTAAAGGCAAGAATGGCGTAGCTTCATCTCACATGTTGTTGTTGTTGTTGTGTGCCGTCGAGTCGTTTGCGACTCATAGTGACCCTATGTACAACAGCCCTAAACTCTGCTCTATCCTGTGCCAATCACACTGTCTCTGACACACCCATCCCGATTACCCCAGTCACTGACTCAATCCATCTCATTGAGGGTCTTCCCTTCCTGCACTGTCCCTCCACCCTACCAAGCATGATGTCTTTCTCCAAGGACCTGTCTCTCCTTACAACATGTCCAAAGTATGTCAGACGAAGCCCCAGAATCCTTGCCTCCAAGGAGTAGCCTGGTTTAACCCTCTCTGTCTCTCTGGAGACTAAGGTGCGCCTGATACAGGCCATGGTTTTTGCAATCACTTGTTATGCATCAGAGAGTTGGACAACGATTAGGGAGGATAGAAGGAGAATTGACGCCTTTGAGCTGTGGTGCTGGAGAAGAGTATTGAATGTACCATGGACTGCCAAGAAAACAAACAGATTCATCCTAGACAGGGTTAAACCAGGCTGCTCCTTGGAGGCAAGGATTCTGGGGCTTCCTCTGACATACTTTGGACATGTTATAAGGAGAGACAGGTCTTTAGAGAGGTACATCATGCTGGGTAGAGTAGAGGGACAGTGCAGGAGGGGAAGACCCTCTATGAGGTGGATTGATTCAGTGACTGGGGTAATCGGGATGGGTGTGTCAGAGGCAATGAGATTGGCATGGGATAGAGCACGGTTTAGGGCTGTTGTACATAGGGTCGCTATGAGTTGCAAACGACTCGACGGCACATAACAACAACAACAGGATGAATCTGTTTTCTTGGCAGTCCGTGGTACATTCAATACTCTTCTCCAGCACCACAGCTCAAAGGCGTCAATTCTCCTTCTATCTTCCCTAGTCATTGTCCAACTCTCTGATGCATAACAAGTGATTTCAAAGACCATGGCCTACTTTGGGCATATTGTTAGGTGTGTTATTTCTTGGAAAGGGGGCTTCCTGCTTGGAAAGGTGGAAGATCAACAAAAGAGAGAAAGACTCTCATCGAGACGGATTGACACAGTGACTGCAGAAATGGGCTGAGGTGTGTTGGAGATGATGGGGCTAGCACAGGATAGGACAGGTTCAGATCTGTTGTTTGTAGGGTCTCGATGAGTCATGTTCAACAGCACCTAACAACAACAAGTAGCCAATATGTTACTTGCAACTTAAAACTCCTGTCCTGTCCTACTGACTTTCTTTTGCAAAGAGTTGCACTACCAACCCAGAGATCATGCCTAACCCACACGTGGCATGTTCAGCAACTCTGCCCGGGAAAGATAGGAATTGCCTCCTGTGACTTATAGTATTAGAAACAACATGAGTCAGAGCCAATTTGATGGTCAAGAGAAGGAGGAAGACTTCCTTTTTTTAGGAACAATCCTCCAAAAATTCCAGCTGAGTCCGTGGCAGCCTTGATAGAGAATGATTCCTGACTTCCTTTGTCATTTTCTTCCCAGCAGGATATGAACGGAAGTTGATGTGTGCACCTTTGGGACGAATCCCGAGCTGCTTGTTCTCGCTTCTGCCTCTTGCTTCCTTGACTTCTTGCTAAGCTGGCATAGTGACCTTGACATGGAGAGTAAGTTACAAATGGAGAGTGCCAGAGGAGTTGGCCTGCAAACCTTGAAGCACGTGTTGCGTAAGAAAGATTTGTCATTCATATGATTGCCATGAGTCATTGTCAAGTGTTGGAACCCAACAACCACAACAACCCTGACCTGTGCCTGTTTCCTCAGCTTGGAATCTGAGCACCCTCTAACTCCTCCTGCACCTGGTGAGACTTTCGCAACCTAGGAAAACAAAAGTGGATAAAAGTACAGGGCAAAGAGATGCAAGTCAGACAAGAGAGTAAACAGACACAGAACATCACAATGGCAGTTTGGCAGATGTGTCACATTTCAAGAGGTTCCTTTCCTACAACTGAGTCATGTTGTGACTAGAAAAAATGTCTGACCTGAGAAGCACTTGGGCATTTGTGCAAAGGGGCATGAGTCTCCTTATTGTAGTATTATTTGTAAGAAAAGAGAAAAAGGAAAGACACATGCACATGCACACACATCCTAGAAACAGTTTAGCAACATGGAACTAGTGTACACAATTAAGAAAGAGATGGCAGTTTAAATACAGTGCTGTTGAAAATGTCCAAAATTAATTGCCAGAGGGGAAAACAAGTTGAAAAAGAATGCACGGTATGATCTCATTAATGCTGGAATGATATGTCAGACATATGAAAGATTCTGGGCCAGAACTGGGGAAATTTAGTTCTGTTTTAATTAATGTTTCAGGAGCAAGAATTGGCTCGGTAGCAACTGTCATCAACAACACGTGTGTGTGAGTGTAGGCACTGTATTAAAACACTTTTGGAAACAAACTTTATAAAATGACTGAGGGGATGTAAATGGGGAGATTTTGCTGTTGTTGTTATTGCTGTAGTTGAATACTGTAGAGTCAGAACCAACCCATAGCTGACCCTCCAGTGGGTTTTCAGAGGCTGTTAACTGCATGGAAGGAAATTGCCCATCTGTCTCCCATGGAGCAGCTGGAGGATTCGAACCCCTTGCCTTTGGGATTGTAGTGCAGCTTCTTACCACTAGACGACCAGAGCTCCTTACCTCCAGTGGTATGTGTGTGTGGAAATTTCTGTGTTGTAAGAATTTGCTACAGCCTATGTTAGCTTTGCTGTTATTGTTGTTGTTATGTGCTGTCGAGTTGCTTGTGACTCAGCAACCCTACGTACAACAGCCCTAACCCCTCCTCTGTCTGTGCTAATCTCACTGTCTCTGACACACCTACTCCCATTACCCCAATCACTGACTCGATCCATATCATTGAGAGTCTTCCTCTCCTGCACTGTCCCTCTAGTCTCCCAAACATGATGTTCCTCTCCAAGGACTGGTCCCTCCTTGCAACATGTCCAAAGTATATCAGACGAAGCTTCAGAATCCTTGCCTGCAAGGAGCAGCCTGGTTTCACCTTCTCCAGGACGAACCTATTTGTTGGAAATTTTAAAAAAATAAAAATAAAATGCAAAAGCAAACGTTTGTTTATTTCTTCCAACCTGCCTTAAGTTTTGTCTCCTCTGGAAAACCTTCCCTCATCTCTCCTCCTCCAAAAACCTCCCAACTCCCACTGGCCTCATTAAGTTCACTCTCTGAGCTTCAATTTTCTTTACTATAAAATGAGATTTAATCATTTAACCTCATCACCTCTGAATAAACGGTTGCTAATAAAGGGAGCTCTGATGGCTTAGGCGTAAGAAGCTGTGCTGCAATACCGAAGGCACATGGTTTGAATCCACCAGCTGTTCCACAGTCTCCTCCAGGGCAATAAACTGCCTCTAAAAACCCACTGAAAGTTCAGCTATGAGTCTGTTCCAATTCCACAGTAAACAAGATGAAGAAGTGAGGTTGGCACAAGAGAGGCCAGGGTTCAGATCTGTAGTTCATGGAGTCATTATAAGTCGTACTCGACAACAATTAACATTACAGTAACTTTGACGCAAATATGAAGCGAATGAAAAAATGCCCTAGCTTGAACCAGGTGCACCTAATCTTCAAAGTGACACTCTTGCTCTTTAGCACTTTAAAGACGTGCTTTGCATCATATTTGACCCTTGTAATAATGGTTTTGATTTCTCACCTGCTGCTTCCATGAACATCAATTGTGGATCCCAGTAAAATGACGTCCTTAACAACTTGAATCTTTTTTCTGTTCACCAGATTGTGCATTGGTCCAATTGTAAGGATTTATGCTTTCTTTGTGTTGAGGCAGAAGCCTCAACAGTTTACTATTGAGTTAGTTATATTGCAGGCTATAGTTTCAATTTTTGTCAGTAAGGGCTTCAGGTCTTTGTTTTCTGCAAGTAAGGTTTTATCATCTGCTAATCATGGATTATTTTTTAATGAGTCTTCCTTCAATCCTGATGACATGTGCTTCCTTTAGCCTAGCTTCTTACCATTATTCTCAGACAATGACTAAGGGAAGCTAAAGAGGCGTCAATACCTTTTAACGATGGTGTTGGTTAAGTATATCGAACCGCCAATAAAACAAACCAATCCATTTTGGAAAAGGTGCAGCCAAGATGCTCCTTAGAAGCAAGGATGATGCAATTTTGTCTCTTATACTTTGAGTATGTCATCAAGAAAGGCCAGATGCTGGAGAATGATAATATGTTTGGTAAAGCAGATGTCAGCAAAAAAAAGAGGAAGACCCTCAACAGGATGGTTCCATACAGTGATCACAGAGTGGGCTTAAGCACAGTAGATTTAGCTCAGGACTGGGCAGACTTCTTTCTATTGTACTATGGTCGCTATGAGCTGGAGATGGTTTGATGGCAACTAACAATTTAACAATATAAATTTTCATTATTTGCAGATTCCATATTTGTGAACTTCACCACTCACTACAATTTGTCATTCCAAAGTCAATACTAGTTTGTCTTTGAAATTATTTAGGGAAACACCTAGAACAGTGAGGACTTTGAATTGTCCAAAATGTATTTCCAGCTGAGCTCAAACCGGGAGTGGGAGGTATGGGGAGAGCTACTCTCATTTCTGCTCTGTGACTTAATGGTAAAAAGCTGGGCTTCAATCCCAAAGACCCACAGTTCCTATCCACCATGTACTCAGGAGGAAGGATGGACAATGTCCTTCCTGCGATTTACTGCCTCTGAAAACCTACTGGAGGGTCAGCTATGAGTCAGTTCCAACTCGATAATACACAACAACGATAATACACACGATGTTTATCAGACTCAATGTAACCTTCCACTGATTTTCAGAGGCTGTAAATCTTAACTGGAGGAAACACGTTTTATTTTTCTCAGGAAATCAAGAGACGAATTGCATTGGGAAAGTCAGCTGTGAGGGTCCTCTCAAGAGTACCGAAGAGCAATGACATCAGGCTGGAGACTAAGGTGCGCCTGATCCGAGCTATAGTCTTCACAATTATGTGCTATGCGTCAGAGAGCTGGACAGTGACTAGGGATGATAGAAAGAGAACTGATGCCTTTGAATTGGGGTGCTGGAGAAGAGTGTTGAATATAACATGGACTGCTAGGAGAACAAACAGGTTTGTCCTGACGAAGGTGAAGCTCCTTGGAGTCAAGGATTCTGAAACTTCGTCTAACATACTTTGGGCATGTTGCAAGGAGGGACTGGTCCTTGGAGAGGGACATCATGTTTGGGAGAGTGGAGGGACGGCGCAGGAGAGGAAGACCCTCGATGAGATGGATCGATTCTGTGACTGGAGTGGTGGGAATGAATGCATTTGAGAGGGCGAGGCTGGCACAGAATAGAACAGAGTTTAGAGCTCTTGTACATAAGGGTCGCTATGAGTCGCAAGCGACTCAATGGCACATAACAACAACAGGGAGCAATTGTCAGATTCGAACCATCAACCTTTTGCTTAGCAGTACAGCACATCCCCACTATGCCATCAGTGGTCCTTGCCATTAAATGATAGCCTTGCAATCCCTGTGGAGTAATTCTGCTCCCTGAGACCAAATCGATTGAAGACAACTGGTTGGGTTTATCTAGATGATGACAATTTTACGACCAGTGACTCAAGGAAACGTTACTTTCACGAGATGCAATGGTTCACTATGAATGAATGTAAGTGGTTTATCCTACAGGAGACTCCCGATTTCCAAAGCACAATGGCGAGTGAACTAGCTGGGCGTCCAGCTACGAGGGTTTACGAAAATAGCCGAAAGGGTGGGAGGAGCCGAAAACTTCCGGAAAGACCCGAAAGCCTAGGACGCCGAGCGCGTCCGCCGGCGGAAGTGTGGGGGCGGAGCCACAGGGGAGGCCGAGGCGAGCCGAGGGAGTCCGGAAATAGCCGAAGCGATGGGAGGAGCAGTCACGAGCAGCAGATCGGGAACAGGGCACCGAAGACTTCCGGAAAGACCCGAAAGCCTGGGACGCCGAGCGCGTCCACCGGCGGAAGCGTGGGGGCGGAGCCACGGGGAAGGCCGAGGCCAGCCGAGGGCTTCCGGAAGTAGCCGAAGCATCTGTGACAGTTTCCGCAGCGCGGCCCCGAGCGGCGACGCAGTCATGGCGGCGCCCAGTGGTCCCTGGGCGGAGAAGGGCGCGGGGCCTGTGGCCGAAGCGGAGGCCCTGGCCTCGGCCCGCGAGCGGAGCAGCCGCTTCTTGAGCGGCCTGGAGCTGGTGAAGCAGGGCGCCGAGGCGCGCGTCTTCCGAGGCCGCTTCCAGGGCCGCGCGGCCGTGGTGAAGCACCGCTTCCCCAAGGGCTACCGGCACCCGGCGCTGGAGGCGCGGCTGAGCCGGCGGCGGACGGTGCAGGAGGCCCGGGCGCTGCTCCGGTGTCGCCGCGCAGGTGGGCGGGCTCGGCCCGGGGCGCGGCGCGCGCGGATCGGGCACCTCCCTGCGTTCTGGGCCCCAGTGTGTCTCAGTGTCTCCATTCGGATCATCTTAATCGATCCTAACAGATTCTCTTAACAGAAACACGTGACCTCGCCTCGCTGTCTTCCTCGTTTCCCGTCCTGGATTCGCCACTTTCTCCACGTTGAACTTAGTATGAAACTTTGCTGATCCTCAGTTTCCCCATTTGCCTCTCTCTCGATCTCAGATGTTGATCGTTCATCTAGCTCCTCTTGGGTTTTTTTTTTAATCCTCAGAAGTCACTGTTTTTGATCAAAGCATGCACAGCTGCCTAGATTCCCATTCGATAATTTCCCGATGTTTCAGTGACATTGATTACATATCTCACGATGCCTAAACCGTGTCAGCGTTTCTGTTCTGGTTGTGTCCAGTCCATGAATCTGTTTTTCCTGCCCGCCATCGTGTTAATCTTTGTTTAGAGTAATTGTCTCATAGAGACGACTTAAAGGAGCACAGTACTAAATACTGCTGATAGTCTTGTTTCTGAGACAATCTATTCTTTAGCTAATAGGTGGTCTTGAACCACTGTTAGTTCTAAGTTTAAAAAATAATCTCAGAGCTATCATCTCCTGAAATCCTTCAGTCTTAACTGGTCCAGTAAGTAATTTTATCTTAAAAGATATTTGAATTTCTGCACCCTGACTTCCTCCCATTTGGTGTCGACTGTGGCCCTGATAGGACGGTCAGTGATAGCTGGGCACCATCTAGTGCTTCTGCTCTCAAGAGTAGATGAGGCCATGGTTTATGTAGACTGTGTCAATCCTGTAAGCCGGAGCTTCTTCAAGTCTGGTTTCCTGCTTTCTCTTTTGCTCTGGATGAGGGAGACCAGTTATTGTATCTTAAAACAATTATGGTAAGACCTCAGATGCCACTCACCAAACTAGGCTGTAGAACGGACACTTTATGAACCATATTGTACCCCACGAGACTATGATCTCCTTTCGTTTTAAGAAGCAGATTCTGTGTTTAGCTGCTGACTTTGCAGCTTCATATGTCGCTAGCCCTTGAGCAAGTTATTTAGCCTCTTCGAGACTCAGTTTGGCCTAGTCCATCATGTTGTGTTGTTGTTGTTGTTGGGTGCCATCGAGTTGAGTATGACTCGTAGTGACCCTGTGAACAACAGATTTGAACCCTGTCCTGTCCTGTGCCATATTCACACTTCCTGACACAGTAGAGCCCACTGCAGCAGTCACCACATCAATCCACCTGGGTGAGGATCTTCCTCTCCTTTGCCGACCTTCTACTCTGCCTCACATCATGTCCCTCTCCAAGGAATAGCCCCTCCGAGATTCATGCCCAAAGTATGTGAGGCGAAGCCCATCATTCTTGCTTTCAAAGGGCACTCTGGCCACACCCTCTCCAAGACATTTGCTTGTTCTTTTGGCCATCCATGAGATAGATGTTCAGTACTCTTCTCCAACACCACAATTGAAAGGCGTCAGTTCATCTGTCATCCTTATTGTCTAGCATTCAGATGCATAGCAAGTGATTGGAAAGACCATGGCCTGAATCAGATACACCTTAGTCCTCAGACTGACATCATTAGTCTTCAATAATTTGGAGAGGTCCCTAACTGCACCTTTTCCCAGTGCAATGCATCTCCTTACTAAAAAGCCAAACATTTCTATTACTTCAAATCCAGCAGTCATTCCAAGGGAAAAAGACGGGCAGTCTACTGCTGTTAAGATTTACAGCCTTGAGAGCCAGGTGGATTATCTGTTCTGAGGTGAAACCAAGTTGATGACAGTGCATGAGTGAAAGTGGTGATGGCAGGATGCCCGCTTTACAGGAATGTTGTGACAGTTAAACGAAGGGCCTTTATATACATGTTTGAATGTATCCTTGGCACAAAGCATACAAAAATCTTGTTTATGCAGGGGTTTTTTGTGGTTTTTTTTTTTCTTTAAAATGAAGACAGTTGTGTATGTATCTGCCCACATTTGTCTCACTGAGGCTTAGTGAGAAGTAACTTTCCTCAGGTCACACAGCTAATAAAAGTGGCCCACTCAGGCCTCTGGGCCTTATCTATATAGTACTTGTAAAGAATGACTTCACTTCCTGCCCCTCTCTTTCTCCTCTTTTCCATTTTAACCACTAGTTGTGCATCAGGGTGTTGTTAGGTGCTGGGAGATCTGAGGGGATTCAATGGTGAACAAGCAGACACATCTCTCTCTCCTTTGGATGTAATCAACATGCTTGTGGGTTCCAGTTCCCTGGTTTCCCCCTCCCTGGGATGTAAGTTCCATTAAGCAGGGATTGTGGCCGCCTTGTTTACTGCTGGATTGATCCCCACTGATCATGTCACAGTGTCTAAGGTGGTGTCCTGTGCATTGTTGACAGTCAGTATTCTTTGAATGTACTTGTTGAAGGGGTTGTTCTCTTAGAAGCAGAAACTGAGGCTTGGGGAGTTAAGGTAATTGGGTGGTTGTTATTAAATGCTGCCAGGTTCTGACTCCAAGCAGCCTTATGCCCAGCAGAGCAAATGCTCCCTCCCCTGCACTGTCGTCCCTTATCGCTTGGTTTGAGCCCTTTGTGACGGTGGTCAGTCCATCTTGTTGCGAGTCTTCCTCTCTTTCATGATTCTCTGTGTTACCAAGGATGACGCTCTTCTGCAGGGATCGGTCCCTCTTGATAACATGTCCAAACCATGTGAGCTAGTCTTGCTGTCTTTACTTTGAAGGAGAGCTCTGGCTGAAGCTCAAACAATTGCAATTTCAGTAAGTAAGTAAGGATTTGAACCCTGTCCTTTCTGACTTGCCAAGCTCGTTCTCAAAGCCAGCCCACTGCTTGGCCTCCCTTTATGTCTTTGTCAGGTAGAAACTGCTCCGATTAGACCAGGCTTCCCCTTTGGCACTTTGCCTTTTTTTTTTTAAACATTATTTTTAGGGAGCAACTGTTTGAAATGCAGTAGATCATGAAGCATGGTGATGAAGCAAGAATCCAGCCCAATAATGGCTTATGTCTCGATTGCAGGGATATTGGCCCCAGTGGTGTTTTTCGTGGACTATGCTTCCAACTGTTTATACATGGAAGAGATTGAAGGCTCAGTGACCGTTCGAGACTATATTCAGTCCACCATGGACACAGAGCAAGCCCCCCAGAGTCTGTCGAGCTTAGCCAAGACAATGGGGCAGGTTTTAGCTCGAATGCATGATGAAGACCTCATCCACGGGGACCTCACCACCTCCAACATGCTCCTGAAACCCCCCGTGGAGCAGCTGGACATTGTGCTTATCGACTTCGGGCTGAGCTTTGTCTCCGCGCTTCCAGAAGACAAGGGTGTGGACCTCTTCGTCCTGGAGAAAGCGTTCCTCAGCACGCATCCCAACACCGAGACTGTGTTTGAAACTTTTCTGAAGAGCTACTCCTCCTCCTCCAAAAAGGCCAAGCCGGTGCTGAAAAAACTAGATGAAGTGCGCCTGAGGGGGAGAAAGAGGTCCATGGTGGGGTGAGAGCCGTGCAGAGCAGAGAAGGGCGTTCATCTCAGAGTATGTTTGAAAGATGCTGCGTGTCTGAGTGAAGTGCTCAATAAAGGTGCGGGTATGCTTTTGTAAAGTGCCTCGTTTCTTACTTTCTTGCTCGTTAAGAGTCTTTAACTGCAGTTCTCAAGAACCACCTGTGTGTAGGACTTGTTCTCGACCGAATTGAGTATTTAAAATAAAGCTGGACCAAGTTTCTCCCAGTTGGTGGCATGACATTCATTCAGCCGCATGATAAGAATGTTTTTCTCTTCAAGTCATTTTCTAGCGTTTGTAGGAGCCTGGTGATGCAATGGTTAAGTACTTGGCCACCAACTGAAAGACTGGCAGTTCAGACCCGCCAGTTCTGAGGGAGAAAGGTGGGGCCGTCCACTTGCGTAAGGATTAGTGTCTTGGAATCCTATGGAACAGTTTCACTGCTAGAATCACTATGGGTTGGAATAAATTTGATGGCAATAAGATATTATTTCTTTTAATTTAGCTCTTTTAAAATCTTTTTTAAAAACCTTTTTTATCAATTCTTAAGCTTTCAAATACTCAAACTCAACACCTTCTATTTGAGTACTTAGCCAAATTACAAAAGAAAAAAAATATATATATCTATCTCAAGGAAACAGACAAGCGCCTTTGAGAATTACATGTGAACCTCACTATATGATCAACGTTTAAATTCTTTTTCATAAAATAGATTACCAATTGATCCTACTGTTTGCGGGACCTCTTAGCGTCTAAGGATAACATCCTACATTCATGAAAAAGAAATCATTTCTGTCTCAGCTCATTAGAAACCCTTTGCTATAGAAGCAGAAGCTGCTGGTAATCACAGGTCTTTAGATGGGAAGGCGTAAACTGATTGTGATTTCTTATGTTTTAGATTGGTTGTCGGCTTGTTTTTTTGGGTTTTTTTTTTACTTAAGATACACTATTAACAGAGACACTCACTGGCTACTGGCTTGGGGAAGAAACTTCTGGGTAGGCAGAGAGAGTGCACTGTTGATTTTAAGAAAAGTGTTTTGGTTTTTGTGTTCCTCTGTTGCTTTCTTATAAAATATCAAGGTAGAGACCCTCGGCATTCACAACGAGAATGAACCCTCGACTGCAAGAGCATCCTCCTCTACCAAGGACAGCTCCAGAGTGTTTGCATTAGCGCTGTTTTTCATCCTGAAGCTGAAAGAACCATAGAGTTTGGCAGAGTCTTTGGAGGAGGCAAATCTGTTTTGACAATAGAGTTCTCCCTTCCACTTGGACATCATCAGCAGGCAGGACAGCACGACACCCCCAGAGTGTGAGGAGGCAGAGTCCAGCAATGACGCAATGGTCCAGGTGGGCGCCCAGCCTTGCACTCTCCTCCAGACGCTCCATCTCCCGGGCAGCCACTTCCCGTGGTACCAGGTAGGAAATGATCGCCAGCAGGATCTCGTGACCAAGAACAAGGTGGCGCAGATAAAACCGTAGTCCACTGACTTCCCTGAAGACAGAACTTGTGTCGCCTTCTACTTTGGGTATCAAGGACATGGCGGCCTCATGGGGCCACTCGTTTGGATTTTCCCAGCCCAGAGTTCCTGGGTGATTATTTCCTTTGGTTGTAGGAGAGCTCCGATTCCAAGGCTCCAGGTTGACATTCTTGTCCACATCCGTGAAAGAAGCTTCCAGCTCCTGACTGCAGCAGTTGTAAACTTTGCCTTCTATGTGACAGTTATCAGAGTTGGCAGGTCCTGGAGGGAAGGAGTCTGGCCGAACACCACCACCCTGCAGAGAGGAGGAAGGGGACTCGGGAAAGGCTTCATATTGACCCTTCCTTCCATCTTGGCTGCTGTGGGTGTTGATGGGTAGTGTCCCTGACAGTAGAGGGTGGCCCTGGTGACTGCTGCATTTTCCTGGTCTTCAGGATGTCCTCCTGGGCCCCAGTCCACAATCCCACACAGGTCTGCCTGGCCACTCTTCTTAGCAGGCACCTGGAGCTCCATCAGAGGCTATCAGACGTCTCTTCGAGGTTTCTGGAAATCCTCCCGCCTGGGCCACTCGGTGCCGCTTGAGCACCAAGAACTGGCTCCGGTGTGACTCCCCAGGAAAGTCCCCCAATCACTAGACAAGGCACTTAGAGCCTCTGCTCTCCACACCGGGCAGCAACGCCCCGGCCCCCCACCCTGAGCCTGACCAGCTTTTTTTTTTTTAAATTCTGTATGTGATGTGTTCGTCATGAAACCAATTTAATCGGCTATTACATGTAGAATCATAGACTACATCACACATGATTTGTGTGTTCTATGTACAGGGCGTTGATGTAAAAGAAATTTCTTGAGAATTACAGTGGAAAAAAAAAAGATGAAAAATGTCTCGGCTCCCAATTTCCGCTCTACAAACAGTAGAAACCCTGCTTGATTGTTCACCATCTTCACAATCACATGTGTTTGACACATTGTTGACTCCAGTCACAGGTTGAATTGTGTCTCCCAAAAGCACATGTAATGATTCCCCATGATCTAATACACCAAACAGTTATCCAAGGCCTGAGAGTGGGGTGCAGCATCCTTAATCCCACTGAAGCCCTGATCCCGCGAAAGGAGACTTTCCTGGGATGTGACCAGTAACACCTTTTATCTCCCAAGACTGGAAAAGGGGAAAGTGAACAAAAAGGGAACCTCGGGGTTGTCAAGAGAGAAAAGCTGGGAGCAGACCATATCCTGTTGGACCCAAGTGCCTGTGAAGTAACTTGCCAGTGCTCACCAACACATGGACATCTCCAAGGAATGGTGGCTCTCCAGAAGCTGAAGAAAACGAGGACCTTCCTCAAGAACCCACACAGAAAGCCTGCCCTTAACGGACAGCACGCTATATTTGGTCTTTGGGACTCCTCAACCGTAAAAGGATCCATTTCTCTGTGCGTTTGCCATTCCTGTTGTAGCAACACTGGATGACTGAGACCTCAACAATACCCCTTGCTTTGAGTCTTCATGTCAGATTTAAAAACAGATCTATGTAAGGAGCTCTGGTGGCCGAGTGGCAAGAAGCTGCGCTGCAATCCCGAAGACAAGTGGTTCGAATCCACCAGACGCTCTACTGGAGAAGAAGGGGCGAAGTCCTCCTGTGCCAGTTGGATCTGATTCAATGGCAACAACAACAAAACATCCAGACAAACCTACATGAAGTCCCATGTTATAGATGAAGAAAAGGGCTCACAGAGAGATACTCTGATCATTTTCTTTCCTGATCCTTTAGGAAATGACATCTATTTGAAAGCTCTTTTACTATTATTATATGTATTGATGTGATAATAGCATGTTCAAAAAGAATAATTTTTCAATTAATATTGTCACCATGACAGTGGCTCATCCCTCAGTTGCCTGCCCGAGGCATGCAGCCATTCAGTCAATGAGGACCTATGCTCACTACGTGACAGGCCCTGGGGACAGAACACAAAGACCGGCAGTGCTCCGGACACAGAAACTTCACTATCTAGAGCTTGCTATCTGGGAAACATTAAGAACCTAAGACAATGGCAAATTATGATCAATACTACAAGGGGCGATCCTGCGTGTCCAAAAAGAGGAACAGAAAGTGATCAGAGGTCTCTGATATAAGGCGATAATGGAATTAACACATGAAGGAAAGGCATGGTGAGTTTGCTCATCCTGTTTCACAACATGAATACAATGCCTCGTATGGAGGACTCCCTGAGCGATGTAGACCTTGTCAGTAATACCATCTGAGCTCCATGAACTCAGATCATTCGTGTGTTCCAGAAGATGTGAGCCTCTTTCCTTTTAAGGTGGACATATCTGTGTCACCTCATAGTGTGTCATTTTGGACAAGGTTATTTAATATTCCTGGCTTTAGTTACTGTTAGTCTGGGCAAAGAGGGCCAAAGAGAAGAATGAAGAATTCAGAACTCAAATGCTGATGGCCTTGCTTGTTGCAGATAAGAAGAGAAAACAGCCTTGCCTGTCTGGCTAAGCTAGTAGGTGGCTCATAAATCAGAATAGAATGTCCCTCTCTAAAGACTGTTTATAAAAATCCTCCCCAGTAAGTTCACAGTGTGACTTCCCATTCTGCCTCTCCAGGATGAGGAACTCACCCGGGAGCTCCCCTTTCCCCCTTTAATAAAGCTGCATTAAGCTTTCTCTTGTTCTCTCTGATTTCTTCTTTAAGTCCACTAACCTAACCTAACCTAACCTAACCTAACCTAACCTAACCTAACCTAACCTAACAGTTGCCTCCTCTGTAGAATGGGCTAATGGATGGAAAGAACTTAATCACTGTTAAGCAGCGTAGTAGCTGCTGTTGAAACACTGAGTCAAAATCCACTCAGATCATCAGAGGGTTTTGGGAGGCAGCAAATTGCAGGGGAGACTGCTCATCCTTCTCCCATAGGGCAGCTTGTGGATTCGAAATGCCAGCCTTTGGAGTGGCAGCACAGCTTCCTCTCCCCCAGGCCACTAGCTATTTTACATTGCTGAGACCGTTTTCTCATCTGTGAAATGGGTGCTCGTGATCTGACCAATGGCATTGAGGTGAGGCCTGGCGAAGTTGCTCCTGCTGTTGGCTCATCTCTTGAAACACTTCCTCTTCTCCACAAGGACCTACCAGGACATCGAGTTGGAGAAGCTAATCAGCCCTCTGTAAAGCAGGTAGCAAACTGGGGGAAACCGACTGCTTGCCTCGAAATCATAGAAAATGCCCTGCTTCCTAATCAAGGGCAGAGCATGGCGACAGTACTCTTCTTGGAAACATTGCTGGGCCCCCAGCAGGTGTCTCTCTTGCCTAACTGTACTCCTCCTGTCACCTACTGCTGGCATCCCCGTGGAAGATGGTGAGATCACCTGTCTGTCCCCAGCCCTCCTTTTGGGAGCTGGGAGAATGGCTATCCACTGCATGCATTTCCAAAGGACTGAAACGTATTTCTGCAGCAGAGAAGTGGCTCCCTTCTACCACGAGAGGTCGCAAGTTACCACCATTCTTTGGGGTAGGAAATC